CATCATGGATCTCGTCATTATTATTAGGATCTGATTGTCAATTTCGCACAATGGTGGAGATCCTGGTTCGAGAACGAGACGAACCTGCCGTTTGACATGTTGAGATTGAAAGATTCTCAATTTGATCTTCCTCGCGCTCGCTCAAAGGGAAATCGATAGAAACACGTAATCTAATTGTCTTGAAAGCTGAACCAACTTTGCCCTTATGTTCGTGTCAAATCGGCAACATTATCTGTCTAAGATACGTACTCGCATCGTTTGAATCTCAAAGTGTTTACATGTAGAGAGCGTATGTAAAATGTTAGAATTCGCCAAGGCCTTCAATCACACGTGGTCCTTTTTCTACTTCAATAGTACCCTGTCGTATTTTGTGACGTGTCGAGAGTAAGCAGACTCTATAACGTAGTCCCGACACCTCCTTCTCGATGCCACGCCTCATAGGCTTATTACAAAAGGACACCGCATCCAGTCCTCTGCGGATCCTCCACCACCTTAACTACCCCTCTCTAGTGACTTTGTGGCAATCGCACTGCCAGAGCCTACCGTAAGCAGCAACACCCACCCACCTACCCTATCGTCTAGCCTTGTCTTGCCATGTGAGCTCAGAGCCGTCAGAACATGAAAATCCCGGGCATCGGATATATCATTCATACCCGAACCTCTTTTTTTTCCAGCGCCCGACATGAATGAGTCTAGAGGTTCGGATGCACGTAATACCCGAGAGATGAACGTCGATCCCTCCTTGGCCTCACGCCATCTTGTCAGTGGTGAAGCAGACTGACTATCAATGAACAGCGCATAGCCTGATTGCAAGATCAGGCTGGGAGGCCGCGTGTGCACTTGAGGTTGTACCTGGACCTGTGTGGTGGTGGTTGGTACATTTGTCTCTGTGCTCCTATGTCATAAATACCAGATATCATGTGGATGAAGAAAATGTAATTAATCGTATCCAGCTTGAAATTGAGGGTATATAATCCACGACAAGTCCCGTCCAAGTCGTCAAACTCAACTTGCCTCCTCTCCTCAAAAAGTCAAATTCCCATCTTCAAGCCCAGATCAACGAGCTCGACTTGAACTTGCCAAACGTCTTGCTTACTCCCTTACTGAAATCCAGAATTCAACCTTTCAATCCTGCCTGCAACACCAAACCGCAACCATGACGAAAGGCTGCCCCGGTTGCAACCGCGAGATCAAGGACTCTCAGACCTACTGCGTCTATGGATGCAGCCAAGATGCCTACCATGAACAGCGAGAAGCTGGCCGCGAAGCCGAGCGTGAAAGAGAACGCGAGCAGGAGCGGCAAAGGTCGCAACCGCTTGTTGTTGTCAATGTGAGCGGCGGGGGAAGTCAGCAGAGCAGTGAGACTAGTCGGGATAGTGAGGCCAGTCGTCGTTACTACTAAGGCCTCAACTGAAATTGCAGTGTGGCGACAGATGTTCGAGTTACTCTGGAAGGGGTTATGCCTGCAGATAGAGTGTTAGGTCAGAAGATTTACATGTTTCTACCGAGTCAACTATCTAGTATTGCTTGGACTTTTGGAATCGACTCAGGTCGAAACGCAAAGGGCTCCATGCTTTGCTTGGAAATAATCTTACTTCTACATGCGTCATCTGTATTTCCAGTATCATGCATCTGATCTGCCTATCGTTTCGTGATTCCAAGACACTTTTTTGTCTTGTCCGCAAGGTCTAAAGACGCCAGCCATGCTTTGAAACTTCCTTATATGTGCCCCTTAAGGTGGCTGAACCGTGCAGGTTGTGATAGACTGGATGAGTCTAATCCCGCTTCACACCAATTACCCCTATCCGGCGCATTCCAAACACACAAACGAGACAGACAAACATCATCCAGCCAAACATGGCCCAGAAGGCAACCCTGTAACCTACCATGAGGGCATCAGGTGACGACTTATCAGCGTACGAAGAGGCATTGGTCGCAGACGAGGCAATGACCTGCGCCACGCTGAGTCCGAGGGCTGTGCCGAGCTGAGCGCACGTGTTGAAGACGGCACCGCTGAGGGCCTGCATGCGTTTGGGGAAAACGTCGGAGACAATGAGGAGGCCGACTGTGAAGAGAATGTCGCAGCTGATGGGGGTGAGGATCTACATGGGGATATCTTAGTTGCCGAAAAGTAGACTGAACGGATGAAAGTCGTAGGTTATGGGTGTTGCCTGAAAATAGTCTAGGTTACGGGCGTTCTCTTTGCTTACCTGTGCGAAGAAGGCGTTCTCCCAATACAGTTGGTTAGCGCGAATGAGGGCCATGAGAAGCGGCGCAACTGTGCTCATCGCCGATGAGATCAATAGCATCCATAAGACGGGCATGCGGTGGACGAAGATACCGGTTGCGATGCTTGTAAGTGCACCAGCGGCGAGAGATGGAACGACCTGGACTGATGCCACCGTTGCTGACAAGCCCTGGACCTGCTGGAAGCTGGTTTACGTTACTCAAGAAGTCCGCCAAACAGTGCCATTATGACTTACAACAAACTGCTGTAAAGCTCCATACAATTGGTGAGAGCGTTGGTAAGAAGTACCATGACGCAACAACTGGTGAACACATAGCTGCCCCAAAGCGAGTTGGGAATCAAAGCTGTCTTATTGTTCTTCACCCGATGATGCATCCACCCGACAAATGAAGGAATAGAGCAGCCGGCTATTGCCAGAAGCGCAATGGTAGATGGCTTGCGGATATTGTTGATGTCGGCTGACAATGATCTGTGCCAGGTTAACCATTTCGTTCACCGAGCTGTGCATAGATCAGGTACTTACGCCAACACATATGACAAGGTCGCTAGGCCGGTACTGACCAGGACTACTCCCACGGTATCAATATCCTTGGCAAGTCGCTTCCAGATAGATTGGTCATTTCTTGTCTGAAGGTCGCGCGGCAATGCCCAGATGGCAACCAAGAACAAAGCCGCACTTGCAGCCGCAGCCAGGTAGAAAGCCGGTCGCCATCCAACATTATCAGTAAACACACCACCCAGAACCAGCCCAAACAAGAACCCCAGCGGCTGGGAAAAGCCCATGCATGCGAATCCCATATTGCGCGGCCGCCCCTCCTCCATGTTGGTCGAGATGATGGAGATGGACGAAGGCGTAATGACAGCATACGCCACACCCTGAAGAGCCCGAAACGCAATGATCTGGCCACCCGTCTGCGCCAGACCGCACGCCATGGCGAATATGGCGCTGAAGAACGAGCCCGTCAGGTTCACCCGCTTGTTCCCGACGACGTCGGCGACGGAGCCGGCGAGCAGGAGACACGATCCGGCCGTGAGGAAGTAACTGGAGCTAGGCCAGACGAGGAGACCTTCGTCCAGGCCTATGTTGTGCTGCATGGCGGGTAGGGCGACGACGATGATGCCGTTGCAGAAGCTGCTGAAGAAGAGCTGACCGCAGACTTGGGCGATGACGATGCCGGCTCGGGTTTTGGAGAGCAGGAAGGGGGCGTTCGTTGCTGCTTCCTCTTCTGAGTCGGTGGTCATTAGCCCGCCGGGGGCTTGTTGGAAGTCTGGTGGCGCGTCATGGCTTTTTCGCAGTAAGGTGACTGGTGTTGACGGAGCAGGCTCGAATGTCTGCAACTCCGTTGCGGTTTGCGTTGCCATGTTTGCTGTAGAGGTCGATGTTGATTGGTACTTAAAGTTCAATACCTCTACAACACCTCAGTTGTGTGAACGAGCCAAAGTTGAGCAGACTCGACGGAATTTGGATGAGAGCAAAGTACATGTACAAAGTCTCAAAGACGCCGAGTGAGTCAAGAGCCCTGGCGAGCCTGCTACCGAAGTTCTTTTGCTGATAAGTCAAGTGAGACGCCGCCCCTTAAGGGTTAGCACCGACAAGTCAAAGGGCGCAAACAAGACCGGGGACCGTCGTCTAATTGGCTCAAAGGTCCACATACGTAATCAGGCGGGATTAATCGCGGAAAAGAACATTTGATAAAGCTTTGTATGATTGAATCAATTTCTTTTACACCACCTTTTTTGCAATGTCAACAGGTGTTGTGATAAGTCCGAGATTTGGATTGTTCACAACTATGTCTCTTCATGTTAGTTATGCTATACAACGAATTCAAGATCGACTAGGACTAGAGCTTTGATCTCTTAATGTTTTACTAAACATATTGCTCGCCGTCTACGAAGCTCGATCCACGCCCGAGTCTCGTCTACTACTTTCGTCGACCTAATATCCAGCACCAATATATCATAATCCTTTGGATCACATACATGTTTGAGGTGGCCCGAGAGAATTCCGACTTCCCATCAAACTCTGACGGGGACCAATTAATCATCTCCCTCCTTCATAAATCCTGATGAACCCTCCATCGAATCGTAAGAGTAGTCGAATTTCCAATCCGATGAACATGTCTTCAAGAAGAAATCGACGCAGCAGGAATAGTTGCAAGTCCCGCGCAGTCAATAGGGTCACATTCCAACTTACATGTCCTCTTCTCACTTTAGTGAAACCATTAACTCTTACTCTTCTACCGGTGCCGGCCGCCGTAGCCACGGCCAATTTCTGCCACATCAACTGTGCCGACTTTGTGTTTCGGTCGAATTGCCTTCAAACAATTCTTCGATGACCGCGTCGAGGCTTGCGCTAGCCCTTCTGGCACGATCGACGGCGTTTATGAGCTGGACATCCAGTGCAACAACATCCCCGATTGGGTGCTGGCACCGTCCTCAATTATCGTAGCCGGCGTTAGCATGTTCCTTTACGTGTTAGACCAATGGGCGCGTCAAGTGAGAATGAGGGCTCTCTATCGACTATCAAAAACCAGAAGTATTTGGTTGGCAAAGAATCTTCAATGTTGCTGGTGTAAATGTGATCGAGGCAGCATACGTCAAAATAAGAGAACACCTAAAATATAATTACAATGAGGCTTAGGTATCAGGTTCAGCATACGCTGCAACACAGACAACATGGAAGTAGACATAGGATCAAAGAGGAGAAGGTCTACAAATACAAAGCTACTAAAACGGACCATGATCATCACCCTCACAACTTCTCGTTAGAGTTAGCCATCTCAACCGCCTTCTCAAAATCCTTTAGAAATACCCACTTCCCACCCTCCTTCCACCCCTTCGCCCTCCACTCACTCCCATCCGCCGGGAAAACCTCCACAACGCCAACCAAACTACTATCATGCGACGCCACAACAAACACATCCGGACTCTCATCAAACCTCTGAATAGCACGCACCGTCTCCCTCGAAGCCTCCAAATCCATAAATATCCCACCCTCAGGCAGCGCATGGAACGGGATCCCATTCGCGTCGCTCCCCGCCTCCCCTAGGACCTTGCTGTAGGGCCCCAGGGCGGCAGAGTTACCAGCCACGGGGTGGACTGCGTGAAACGCCCGTCCGGAACAGCAACTGTGGCCCGGCAGCTGGATTTCCTCTGGTAGCGTCGCGCCGCCGTGCGGTCTCAGGACGGAGCTGTGGTGGAAGGAGTCGCCTGCAAAGTACATGAAACTATCTTCCGTCGTACGAGCCAGGGCGTTGATGTGCCCAGTAGCGTGGCCCGGCGCCGAGAGGAGGTAGAAACTCCCATCGTTGAAGTAATCCAGCGCCTTGAGTCCCCCGATTTCAATCTCAGTGGAAGCAAAGTCTAGTTCACGCACTTCGCGGCCCTCGAACTCGCGAGCGAGGACGGGTGCGTCTGGGATGGTTGGGTAGCCAGGGAAATACGCCTCCTTCACCCCTGGGCCGACGATCAGCGATGCCGTGGAGGGGAAGAGTGACGGGCGGCCAATGTGATCCGGGTGTGCGTGACTATGGGCAATATCAGCCATCGCATTCTCAAGTTTCCAAAAAAGCAAACATGGCTTACGTACCTCCAGAAGAGCGCCTCAATCTCCCTCAAGTCAAGACCGCCCTCGGTCAAAATTTCGGAAACGTATTTTTGGGCAACCATCGTGCCATCCAAGTTCTTCCCCATCTCCAATACAGCTGGAGAGAAGTCATTGTCCCAGTCTTTCGGCAGACCGAGATCGAACACTATGCGTCTAGTCTTTCCAGCAGAGTCCTGGTGCGTTACTAGAAATGCGTAGCCTACGCCGTACCACCTCTCGAAGCCGTTCATGGTAGGGCCCATGAAGGGTGCCGTGGGAAGATCGCCATTGAGGGTTGTGTCGATGATGGAAACAGAGACCGTCGACTTTGAAGGAGGGATATTCAAGACAGAAGTTGCAGACATGGTTGCGGATAGTTGTTGTTAGTTCAAAGACTCAAGCAGGTAGGTGTGATAGAAACAACATTGTACCGGGCATATGGGACTTTTATATGAGTCTCATCAATCTCACCAATCTCACCTCAAAGGTTTAGGCCCAAGCAAGCCAAGAAGCGCGGACGCGCGCCATAGCGGTCGTATTGCTCTTTGTCAGCCCTAGTCAGGCATAGCTTGCTCCCCGGGCCGAACGACATGCAGTCAACAGCAAGTACCGGCGATGATTAATCCGAACTAGGCGGACGAACTCGGACCATAGCACAGGTACATGAACCATAGCCACGGAGACATGCGGGCTGACCAAGACGGCGGATCCGCGGATCATCCGCGGCTTAACATGGCATCCGCAATTCGAGCCCCAAAAGGGTCATCCGTATCCGTGGCGTCGATCCCGTCAATCGGATTCGAGAAAGGCAAATGACGCCAAACGTCCGTGGAAACAATCGGAGATCCCCCATGACTGCCCGGGCCAATTCGCCTCGCCGGCCGTCAGCCACCGTTTCCCAGTCGGGCCAACCCCGTGCCCGCTGACCGGTGACTGGTCGGGTCCACCTCCGCGGGTACCGGTGTGATAGTACCTGGGCTCTCGAAGTATGAGCACTTGCCCACCCTTCCGCTGGGGATTTATCCTTTTGTTATCTACGAAATCATACAGCAATTGTATGAAAGCCTTTTTCACAAAGACCAATTGTTTCCTGCATGACACTCCAAGCGGATCTGGGGATGTAAGTTGTTCATGCATGATGTGTACATGTGGACTTTAAGCCACCGCCTTCTTCTACGCAGATACGGATCAATGTACACCGGCATTGGACAGACGAAAATTATTTCAAGATCATTATTAGTCTAGCCTATCAAGATCAAGATGGTCTATCAATCCATCGTGATGCTCATCCATAGTACGATGTAAAAGCCCTCTCAAGGGTGCAAAACAATCATCCTCCACCTGGAACACGACCTGCCTCTTTCCTCCTCTGACTAGGCCGTCAAATCATGGATCTTGCGCTATGCGACAAATCCTCTTCGTGACAGTGGTATCATTAACTCTTTGCGAATCAAATCACAGAAAAACAATAAAATAGGCTGTGCCGTTCAGCACTCACCGCCCGCCATGCGCGCCTTCTCGTCATTGCTGTTGCTCGGGGAAGCATCAGCAGTGTGGGTATCGCCCGAGAGGTTGGTGTTGGTGCGGTGCTGGGAGCGGCTACGGCGGCCAGTCGACTCGCCAGTATCCTTGCGGCCGAAAGAGTGCCAACTCTTGAAAGAACTGAAGGTGATGGTCTTCTTGAAGTCGCGGCCCTCGTCTTCGCCACCCTGGCTGAAGGCACCGCGAACGACCTGGTGATCGTCGAGAAGGTTGAAGGTGCGCTTGACGAACTTCCAAGCCTCGACGCCAACGACGTACAGGAGAGTGAATCCGACGACAATACCCCACTCCCAGGTGATGCCAATGTGCTTGAAAAGTGTGGTGTTGAGAGTCGGGATGTAGATGACAGGGAACACAGACAGGGCACCGATGATGACGGCCCAGAACAAGAACTTGTTGCCGTAAATGTCCTTGAAGAAGGGGAACTTGCTCTTGCTGTCGGGGTTGAGACGGAACATGGAGCGGCGAAGATTCTTGAACTCCCAGGCAGAGATGAGAATGATCCAGGTGAGCTCGGCAAAGACAGCGGCGCGGGCACGGAAGACGGGTCTACAAGCCTCGGTGAAGGTCTTATTGCACTCGGAACCCAGGTTTCCGCCGTTGGCTCCGTAGACGACAATGATGAAAGTGGCCAGGGTCAAGGCGCCCATGATGATACCATACACAATCATGTCAATGATGATCTGGTTGGTAAAGACACCGCGCTTCTTATTCTGAGGGGGCTTGCGCATAACGTCGGAAGCAGCCTGCTCACGACCCAGACCGAAGGCGGGGAAGGATGAGGTAACCATGTTGATCCAGAGAATCTCAAGAGGAGAAATTGGGAAGACGGACAGATCGGCACCGTCGCGGAAAGCAAGACCGCAGCATAGAAGAATAACCTCGCCAACGTTGGAGCTGAGAAGATGGAGAATGAACTTCTGGATGTTGTCAAACATGCGACGACCCTGGCGAATGGCGGAAACGATGGAGTTGAACTTGTCGTCCGTGAGCACAATCTTGGAGGCCGACTTGGCAACATCAGAACCAGAGCCCATGGCAATGCCGACATCAGCGCGAGCCAAGGAAGGGGCATCGTTGACACCATCACCAGTCATGGCCATGAAGGCGTTGCGGCGACGGAGGGCGTCGATCATTCTAGTCTTGGTATCGGGAGCACAACGGGCAATGACCAGAGGCAGCTCGGGCATGGCATCAATTTCGGCATCAGTCATTTTGTCGAAATCCGTGGCCTTCTGCACAACAGCTTTGGCTACTTCGTCGGGGAGAACACCCAGGTTCTTGGGGATGATGCCGACTTCTTTGGCAATAGCCTTGGCTGTCTCGGGATGGTCGCCTGTAAGCATGTGGACCTTGATACCGGCTGAAGAACATTCGGCGATGGATGGCTTAGTCTCTCGGCGGGGAGGGTCGTAGATACCAGCGAGACCAAGAAGAGTAAGACCCTGTTCAACTTCGGTACGCAGAGCATCTTCCTTCTCCTGGGCGACGTCAGCCTGCTTGGTGGTGAACTTTCCATTCCAGTCGCGGCAGCCGATGGCGAGAACTCGCTGGCCTTGGGAGGCCAACTCGTTCATCTGGCTGAGAACGTCCTCTTTCAAGGCGTCGGTGAGCTCCTGTCTGTCCTCGCCAAAACCGATGTGGGTGCAGAGATCCAGGATGCGCTCGACGGCACCCTTGGTGAAGACCAAACTGTTCTCGGGGCTCCAGATATCGGCAGTCTCGTCGTTCTCGGGGATATCGTAGATGACAGACATACGCTTGATGGAGCTGTCAAAGGGGAATTCAGCAAGTTGTTTCCAGCCCAGGCCCTCGAGGGACTTCTTTCCGAGCTTGAAGCGGTGTGAAAAGATTTGAAGAGCAATCTCTGTGGGCTCGCCCGTAGTTTGCCACTTAGCTTCTTCCTCATCGTATCGGACAGTGGCCAGGTTGCAGAGAGCGGAAGACAGGAGGAAAGCCTTGAGGCGCGGGGTCATCTCGGCCTCATTCTCAGCCTCAGGCGCCTTCGCAGGCTGTTTGTTCTGAAGCTTCTCCTCGGGGACATCGAACTTGAGAACAGCGGCAGATCGCTCCTGATCGTAGTCGCGCTTGGGGGCCTCATCGACGACCTTCTCCTGCTCCTTTGACTCCGAGTGGGTGACGCGACCCTTGGTCGGGTCGTTGGGGCTTTGCGAGTCTCGGACAGTGTAGGTGTGGGAGAAGGGAAGCCAAGCCTTGCGGACAATCATAGCACCCTGTGTAAGGGTTCCAGTCTTATCGGAGCAGATGTTGGTAACACCACCAAGGGCCTCGAGAGCAGAAAGGTCTCGGACGACGACGTTAGACTTTCGCATGACCGTCACAGCGACAACCATTGTGATAGTGAGGACACTGTTAGGCTACTGTTAGTGGTAACTTTGATTGGCAAAGAAGTACTTAGGACTTACGCGACGAGAGATTCCGGGATGATGGCAATACCGAGAGAAACGGCATAGATGATGACTTCGCCAGTAACATCGAACTTGTGAGCAGCGAAGACAATGATGGCCAGGATGATGGCACAACCGAAAAGAAGGTAGGCCAGAGCGGCCAGCTTCTTCTGCAGAGGGGTACCCTCAGTGAGACCCAAGAACTTGCCAACAGCATCGTAGACACGTCTAGAGAGACCAACAACGGGCTGACGCTTGCCGTACTTCTTGTAGTTCATGGAGCGACCGGGCTTGCGCGTCTTCTTTTGGGTAGATGCAGCGATCTTGCCGACCTCGGTCTGCATGCCAGTAGCAACCACAATACCGCGACCACGGCCCTTGCGAACGATTGTTGTGGCGTATGCGATGTTGAGGCGGTCACCGATACCGACTTCGCCCTCTTCCGTGGCTTTCTTCTCAGAGCCAGGGACCATGATGTTGGCTTCGGTGGTCTTATCGACGGGTTGAGCTTCACCGGTAAGAGACTGCTCATCGCAAGACAGGTTCATAGCCTCGAACATGCGCATGTCGGCAGGAACTGTATCACCCATCTTGAGAAGGATGATGTCACCAGGGACGACTTCAGCGCTGTTGCAACGGTTAGCATGTTTGCCAAGGGAAAACGAGCAAGGCGGCTAAGAGCCAAGAGAGGCAAGATGAGAGGAAGCGGGGGGGACCGCGCGTTGACGCATTGTGCATACTTACTTGGGAATAACTTTGGTCTTTCCGTCGCGGAGAACGTTGGCAGAGGGGGCAGAAAGAGTGCGGAGAGCATCCATCTGCTTCTCGGCGCGGTATTCCTGCCAGAAACCAATGGTGACGTTGGCGACAATGACGAAGGCAAGAACGCCGCCCTCGATGTAGTCGTTGATGGCGAAACTCAGAATCATGGCGAAGACGAGAACGAGCACCATGGCATTGAACAACTGCTTGCTAAGAATTGTGTACCATGGCACCGACTCGCCAACTTCGAACTCATTGGGAGGGTACTTGTCCGAAGCCTGCTGGACTTGCTGCGAAGACAATCCCTTGTCGGGGTCAACTCCGAGCGCCTGCGCGGTCTCTTGGACCGTCAGCAAGAAGGGGTGTTTTGGGTAGTCACCAGACATTGTGTCGTGTCTGAGCTGGCGACGTTGATGCGATGTAGGATGTTTCCATTCACGATCGGGGTGGTAGGTGGAGAGAAGCTTGGATCAGCTGTAGAACTTGCCAAATCGAGGCTGGAGATAGGCGGTTGTAGTGATGATACCTCTCACTCGCGGATGAGGTCAGAGAGGATGGTTGATGGTTGGCTTGGTAACCTTGGAAAAGCTTCTTCTTCCGTTGTGTGGTTGGAAGGAAGGAGAGGGAAAGCTATCTGACCGACAGATCTAGAGTTTGAGATGACAAAGGTTGAGGGGGGGACAAGGCTACCTTTATAGACTGACAGCCGGGAGACTGGTAAACTTGGAAATGCGCAGGGTTTCGAAAAGTTTGGAAGCTTGTGCCTCGTAACCCACAAGGTCATCAGCGTCAGACTGGGGAAGTGAAAGAAAGAGAAAGAAAAAGCTGGGAAAGATGCCAAGGTCTGGGCATATGATAACACGCCCCCCCTCCCCCTTCGTAGAGGGGCGTTGTCGTGAAGGGAACATTGGCACGAGAGCTTGCAAAAGAAAAAAGGCATTCGGTCATTGTGCCGACTGAAAGTGTGTGATTGGGCGTTGGTGGTTGTACCAAGGCGGTAGACATGGAAGCTTGACTTGGCTGAACTTGGCGGGTGGTGAGCTTCTTGGCTTTTGGAGACCGTTCCAGTTTCCTGAGAAGTTTGGTTTGGAATTGGAAAAGGCAGAAAAAAAAGAGAGACTGAGAGCAAAGACGGTCCGGTTGGGTGGTGGTCCTCGGGTGACGATGACCTTGGCGGAGCTCTTGGCGGAAGGAAGCGGCGTGGACGGAAGTGGGGCACCCAGAGGGAGTGGGGTCCGGTGGTGGGGCATGGATTAAGGTAGGGAAAGAGCAGGGGGCGCTGGAGAAGGAAGGAACTCTGGAGAGAAGGGCCGGAGAGAGGCCCGGGGGTACGCAATGTGAGTATGTATTTACTCTCTTGCCTTACTCATTGATATATCGAGGCAGGTTGCAGGTTGTTTCTCTATGACATCTTATCGAAAGAATGGAACTTCATCATGAGAGACTGGAGGTATGGTATTTGCTTGCTCATATGGGCCAGTTGTGTCAAGCGGCCAACAGATCGTGAGCTGCAGTAGCAGGAGGACGGTGTTCTGCCATTGGAGCCTCCATGCAAAACAGCAGAAACATGACTATAAAACGAACGGACCATTGCAGCTGCAAGCAGATAGAAAGTTTTTAGCGTGCACACATATTTAAAAATTGAGTGTGACTCTGCAGCTTTTCTCGCTGCGAAGGCAGAGGAATGGAACGAACCCATTTCATGTCAGTGACGCCATTGGCCGCCTCTCGGCGAATAAAGTTATTCGATGCGATAAACCAATGGACAGTCTCAACTGCGCCATGGGGGCATGCATCACGTGCTACTGGACATGCTCGAACCAGACGCACAGACATTTTCACATTTTATATGGGTCTTTTGCACGAGCATGTTGTGTGATTGGCCTGTCATCTCTTGGCCACTGGATTCCTTCTCTCTTGGCTTTTGCCTCCAGCTGGTCCAGATACCACAGCACCTGGTTACAGCGGGTGGAGGTATCTTGCCAGCCAAGATGCACAGCCTTGGTACTTACGCACCTCAGCGGACTCGCCGCGACTATCCGCCGTAAGTTGGTTGCAAGGGGGCGAATCATGGCGCCTTGGCTGCCCTGAGAGCCCACAACGGCCACTGAGAGCCGCTGGGACTGGACACCCATACGCTGCTGTGTCATGTTGTTTGGCCGTTTGCGTTGCACCTTCCCGGCCACGCATAGGTACTTGCCTGGATACGAATGGGGAGGTACCCCCAAATGGAACAACTCCCGGCTTCACCTCAACAAGAAAAGACCCCGAAACAACGTGATCCTTTCAACAACGCCGCCTCTCCAGATGCCGAACTCCTACTTGCACCCCGGAACGACATGCCAAACCCAGTCATCGTATATCTCCGAGTGCTAAGGCTGAGAGAGGCTCTGCTCTGACTCTTCGCAAGCTTTGATATCACGTGTACCCTCCCTACGCGTCAGCTGATCAGTCTTCTTCGTATGTAAGTTGCTTGCAACCCAACACGTCGTCGAATCCATCACCGAACCCGAAGAAAGCCGGAGCCCGACGCTGACTTCGCGTTCCGCCGGGCGGAGCGAGATGGCGACACCGGATGGCACGCCACTTTCAATCACTTTTCGCCCAACTCCGTCCGCTGCCAAGAATTCGACCTTTACCACACCAGTTCGTCCGCGCCGTCGGTCGTACACTATCTTTCACACCATCTAACACCAGCTTGCGTATCAAAAGGTCTGGCTAGGCAGACTTGGACGGAAGGACCTTCAAGGTGGACCGGGTTTCGATGGCGAGCCGCCGGCGCGGGCGATGTAGGAAATATCTCCAGCCTCCGGACAACGATTGCCGGCGAACGTCGCCGTGCCGCCCCGGGCATGGGCATACGAAAAAAGCAAGTCTATTCCGACTGCAAGCGAGGAATGCAATAGCCATCCTGCCATTTCTGCAACCGCTATCCGTACAACCATTCACTCACGCTGGAATGTGGGTTTCTTGCAGTCGTGCCCAGCCTACATACCATCAATACCGAATCCTCTAGAAATAGACCCATCCTGATCAACTGGCAAGGCGACAACTATTCTACCTACGGCCTCCTGTCCATGCTTCGCGCGTATCATATACCTACCATGGCATGACTACAGTCAGGACCTAGCTACCCACCATTGCGACTCCGTTTGCGCCGGCTCTACTTGGCGGCCCTTGGCGGTTCTTGTCCTACGACTCAACGACGTTGGATCAGCTCCGACGTGGGATGACCGAAGCTGGGCCTAGGCATTCTAGACCCCAGAAAATCCCCATTGACCCCATCATCCCACATCGCCGTCAATTGACCACTCACGGCCCCGAAGCCTGCAGCCCGCGACCCGAGGACACAGGATCGCAGCTCGCACTACCAAACCACCCATCACACACAGACCAGAACGAGGGGACGAGAGACATTACATCGCACACATGGAGGGGTTGCGTCGACGATCCAAGCACAATGCTGATCCCTTCTGTCGGTTTTTCTCATCTGTGCTGTCTGTCGCCCATCACCCCGCGCTCGGCGCCCGTATATGCGCACGAGGCATCCGAGATCGAATTATCGCTCCCGGCGGCTAGTGTACTCCCCCTTCCTCATCCGAACTGCTTCAAACCGACGTCCTCGCCAACGCCGAGCTCAAGTTTCCAATTCTTGTCATTCTTGTTCACCAAGTGCAACATTGTGTGGTCTGACACGGTCACAATCTTCTCGGTGGAGTCGCCAAGCGCTTGGCTTCTCGCGACCGCGCAAGATGGTGTGGACCGGGCCAAGTGACGTAGGAGGTTCAACCCAGAGCGCCCTTCCGCCCCCCCCCCCCTTTGAGCCTCTCGGTTCTCTCGTTCCACGCTCGCTCAGGCCAGAACACCACTAGTTCTTCCTCGCATGTTCTTGGCAACAAAACTATTTCGCCAAGCCGTCGCCGTGGTCCCTGGTGTTGTCGAAACCACAGATCGGGTTCGTGTATAGCTTCGTAAAGAATCCAAATCATGCTCACTGACACTCTCCATGCCGTCACCTTGCGCCACCGGCCATCGTCCCGAACCAACCCCTCGGAACGGCCTATGTTGGACTCTGATTGTCAGTTTTCCCCTATGGCGCTATTAGCGTAAGTCACTTTTCCCTTGGAGAAAACAACACGTTGCTCGCACGTTTGTAGCAACATAGCTGGGATGAGACACCTAGCCGGTGGGTGGGAGCATGCTCGCCCATCACAAACACACTTTGAGGGTGGTCACTACGGCAGCAACTCGCTTGCGATGATAGTCGGTACTGCAGTCACAACCTAAGCCTCTAGCTATCCGTTTTGCCCGTCTTACCCTTTCCTCGTTCCCGGAATGGTCCACGCGAAGCTTGACCTTTGCTTATCCTCCCACCTCCCATGAGCTTGTATTACGGCACTATGCATGTACCCACGTCTTGGATGATGGAATTGACCCCATTCCCAAGCGTCTGTCTGCCGGTCCTGCGGGGTTGGAGGCATGCAGAATGTATACCTTGCCTTTGACGCTTGGCCGCAGCGCCGTCATCATACATAAAGCAGCAGAGACGAGTACCCACCGAGTCGCAACTCGATCAGAGGATGAAGGATCTCTCGAAGGACCAGACCGGAGCTGCTTTGAGGGGTCCTTTGCTGCGCCGACGCCCTCCTCTCCACCTGTGACTTTATCCAAGGCTTGGTGCTCTTGGGATATTCTTGGCCTTGGCGAAGCTGACCAACGGCCAGATCAAAAGGTTGTAAAACGGCTTTGCCAAGATTAGGCGATCAGCTGAAATCCAGCAAGAGGGAAAACAGATTGAGCTATAGATCTACATGCTTGGTTCCATTGCGTTGCCACACCTTATCTGTCAACAAGTCTTTGATGTAGGTCTTGTTATATTGCAAGATTGCCGATGGAGTTTGAAGCTTGTGAGCCATTGGCTTTGGTTCAACTGTCCAAGCCAAGAATCAGCCAAGTTTATTGATTGAGTAACAGTATCCGAGACTATTGGCCGGTTGGTGTTATACTTGTCAACTGAGACAACTCGTCTCTATTGGCCATCGATCATTATTGAAACTCCTGGTTCGACGAATGTCGAGACATCTGATCGCCTGCCCATCAAAGCACCGCGATTGAGCTTCGCTGCTTCTTCTGGGTGCGTTGCTCAAAGTGAACGGTTGCCATAATACAATCCGTGCTCAACATCGTACTTGTGAGTATGGTTCACAATGTATTACGCCACGAAGAGAGGTCGGTTAGAACGGTAAGGATTCCACAAACCTGCGATCTGTATAAGATGTACAGATATTCCGTAGAATGTTCGCTGCCAACTACCAATACATCAATGCAAACGTAGCAAGATATTGACAGGCTGCCAAGTTAAACAGTACCAATGATCATCCCGAAATTCATAACAATTTGGCTCTTCATCGCCATCGCTAGCACATGGATCTGTAAGTCCAGCGCCTGATCCTGACTTAGCCAGAACTAATGCACTTACCAGCCGCTCAAGAGCTCTTTCAAGACGCCGTATCCACCAACGAGTTGCCTGCCCTCTGCTCGGTACTCTGTCTGCCCCTCAAACTCATCTTCCCGAGCTGTGATACGCTCTGCCAGACATGCGACAAGCCCAAGATGTTTTGCAAGACTCGGAAGACGGCCGAGTGTGTCGATACGTCCACTGACGTCAATAATTGTGGGAAGTGTGGGAACAAGGTAGGTGTTATTGTCGACATAACTTGCATACATCCTTTTTACCTTGTAGCCAGATATGCGGTATTTTGACTGACATGTTGAACACTAAAGTGCGGCGAAAAGGAAAGCTGTTGTACTTCGAAGTGCGTCCCCGAGAACAACTTTCAGGCCGATGTCAACAATTGTGGCAAATGCGGCGTCAGGGTACGTGAATATCCCACTGTATCGTCTCCTCTGAAATCGACGTTTCCGATTATTCACTGACTTTTTTGTTTTAGTGTGACGAAGGTCAAGCTTGTTGCGATTCCAAGTGTATGAGTACGACGCAGTTGCAGAGTGATGGCAAAAATTGCGGAAAGTGCGGTACCAAGGCAAGTCACCCTTGGCACGAAGACCCTTTTTTGGAGTACAAGTATTGAGACTTACTATCGGAAGCTTGACTGACCGGTATACTAGTGTGGCAAGGGCACAACGTGCTGCAACTCCCGGTGCCTACCCAATGACACATTTCAGAGCGATTCCGTGAACTGCAGCAAATGCGGAAACAAGGTGAGGCTCTTCCCCAACACGGTCCATTACCCATAGTACAAGACGGTTCGACTGACTACGACAACAGTGTCCTGAGACCTTCAACTGCCACTCAGGCCACTGCCTCGAACCACACACCTGCAAAGCAGGCGTTTCCCTTCTCGAAAGCTGTCAAGACCCCATCGTCAGCGGATCAAGCTGCGGTGCTGGCGAAGACGAATTGTGCGACTGCATGGAGTCTGTTGAAGGCGATCCGTTTTGCGGCGCGTTCGATGGGCAGTTTTGTCAGAATATGTGCAATTCTGATAATGATTGCCAAAATAGCAAGGGGAAGAAGTGTGCGAGAAGGGACAAGACTTGTTGTTCGGCGGTGACTACTGATGATAAAAGTCACAAGACCTTTAAGGGTGTGTGTTTCGAGGCTTGTGCAGGGAAATGAGGTCCAGCGCCGTTGGTGGCTTGATTTTCCACGTCTCTAACAGTCCGTACTCTACTCTACTCTGGAATTCTGCAACACAGCAGTCACGGGAAGTTTGTTAACATGGATATGTTATGAGTTCAACAAAATTCACGCAAGTCTGTGGAGGAGCCTGGCATCAATGGTACTAGAAGTCAATCATCGCCGCATTCGTCAACATGATAGCTGCTGGTAACTCTTTACCACCTTGCTGCATATTTTACTGCGCGTAAATGCTGTATCTAGTCGATAGAATAGACACCTTGATATCTTTCGAAGAATGTTTATCAAATAACCCAAGCTTTGAATCAAACTACTGTCAGGTATTGTCCATGGTATCTCCGAAACGCAAGCCTTCGACTCCATGATGTCCAGCGTGCCCACTCCCTGAAACCTTCAACCTTACCACTCCGCTTCCACGAACTTCCTTTCGATGTTGGCTTCCGGAGATAGCCTCAGCGTAAATATTATATCGGAGCTTTCTTTCTACCAATGCTTCATCTCATTCTCATCTCTCTCGTACCACACTGGTCTTGGCTTTCATCCATTGCACCACATTGGACAAGGTATATATATTCCTTTCCATCCTGTCAGGGGTATAACTAACGTACCAAGAGAATCTACTCACAGCCATCCATTCATACACATACATAGCTACGTACACCCACGCAACCGCAAGCATGAAGCTGTCAACTACCCTCGCTATTCTTCTCGTCCCCATGGCAGTCTTCGCCAAACCCCCCAAACGTACCAGCGCACGCCACGTCAGAATCGACAGACTCCCCACTTGCATCCAATACTGCATTGGAGAGACCCAATGGCGCATCAAAGGCGCCACGCTCCCAAAGCTCGCCGGCGAATGGTGCGCGAAAGCCGCGCCGCCACACACGCCGGACTGGATCAGCTTCGGCAAAGCCTTGGACGAGTGCAAGAAGCACCAGTGCGATAACAGCATCCAGTGGATCGACCTCGCCGTCTGGCACTGGGACATGTGCGAGTTCAGCGATGTCAAGGAGGAGGGCATGAACTTCTATAATGGCTATCGCAAGGCGTACTGGTTGCCTAATGATCGTCAGCCTATTCGACCCCCTCATTCGAGAAACTGGATCTCTGATGAGACGTTTGAGGCTCCCGATGAGTGGAATGAGAATAATGGAATTGGAGATGACATTCCGGAAGACCAACCTCCGCTCCACGGCTGATAGATTCACTTCGGCGAAACCCTGCTCAACGAGATTGTTGGCATCTGAGAGGACGGACATCACAACCTAGACACGGGCGTCCAGCGTTTCCGCGTCGGTCGGTACCAATCAAGAAACCAGTGACTATACAATGCTTTCTCGCCAGGCATCGATCATATCTTAGATCTGATCCGCACACTAGGTACCTATGCGAAATCAGCAAGCCTCAGCTTCCGTCAATCCTATCGCAAGTAATGTTTCGGCGGTTACTCAGTTATTGATAAGTAGATGCCAATGAATATATTATTATGCGTCGAAACATTATTGTGAGATTTTTGCTTTCCTTTCAGTCGTCTTTATGAGCTTGCAATGCCATTTACAGGTGTCTTTCCGTACCTGTGGAGGCTGTCAACATAAACATCATGGCTTCATGGCTTAGATTCAAGTCCGTGGCGTTCGACAAAGTCCGACAGCTTTTGCGGACTTTCAACTGAACTCCCTCTCAGTGAAGCCAAAAGGTGGCTGTGGCCGTCACAGTTGAATCCGATTGTGACACAGCATGTAGTATGACTGCAGAGAGGCGGAGTTGGCGGACTTTGAGCAATCCTGGTGCTGAAACTAAGTACCCTCATCTGCACCTTCGAAGATTAGATAAATCACACTTGCGCTGGGGTGTTTAGTACGTTAGAGGTTTTGTCACATAGTCAACTCGCAACTCCATTGATATTTTCAAGCCTGCGCCTTACACTCACTTCCAATCATGACAAGTGCTGCTCTCTTCGTCGGAAATGCTGGACAAGTCACTACTCGACGTGACCTCCCTCCAGTCACAGCACGAGACGACGAGATTCTCATTGACGTCCTCTACTCGGGAGTCAACCCTGCGGATCTCAAGATAGTACACTTCACCAACTATCGGAACTCTGTCCCGGGAACCGACTTCTGCGGCAAGGTCCTAGACTGCCCCGCTCTTGTCGACTCTGGGTTCAAAGTCGGCGACATCGTAGCCGGTCAGACTGTTGCCCATGGAGAATATTTTAAAGAGTACGGCGCTCACAAGCCGCGCATTTCCACGCCGAAACTTGGCCTGTTCAGAGTCCCTGAGAATATGGCCCGCCCCGACGCCGCAGCCATAACCACCGTCAGCCACACCGCCAGCGATGCATTGTACAACAACTTCCAACTTCCTCTCCCAGGATCCAGTACTGATGTTTTTGAGGGCACGCTGGTCGTATGGGGTGGAGGAACGGCCGTCGGCCTGTCCGCCATCCAACTGGCCCGAGCTAGCAGAATTACCAACATCATTACTACGGCATCTCTCTCCCGTCATGATCTCCTCCGAGGACTCGGTGCAACCGAATGCTTCGACTACAAGGATTCCGATGTCTCAGACAAGGTCAGACAAGCGGTCATCAACACAGGCCACTCTCGTGTATGGGGATTCGAGACCGCGGGGTCGCCCGAATCGAGTCAGCTGCTCCTCGGTGCGCTTACCAACATCGATGCCGATGTTCGATTTTCTTGGGTCAATGCAACGGGTGCGCAGCGTCCACCAAGCGAATCTGTTCTCGGATCTCGAGACTACGATATCGTCTTTGAGGTTGCCGGTGGTCGCCATGTCATTTCCGCAGAACCTGGAAAGGCCGCCAACATGTGGGCTGCTCTCGACTGGGTAGTCAAGAATTATGGAAAGGGATTTGAGCTTCCTGTCGTACGTGTGTTTGAGGGTACGGGAGAAAAGGCGCTGGAAGAGATGGAGACGGTGTCCAAGCAAGGAGCTTTTGGCAAGCTCGTGTTGAAGCATCCCCTTCGATGATCGTAAGGCTAGCGAAGATTACTTTCCTGCGAAGATTCCAAGTCGGCTGTGAAAGACATCTCTTGAAACGAGTGAGCCAGCAAAGTGGATATTCTAGATGTAGAAAGAGACCACGAAAGGAGAGTAGCAGAAGATATCAGAAGCTTGAAAGTATAAGCACTGATTCCCATCCATGATGGTCATGAAGAGCTGAGAAAGGGGGGTGCATATTTACGTATAAACAAAGATCAGAGCATTCGACTCTTTAGAATAAGATAACTTGCTTTATCACTTAAAACTTCAGATCCTCTTCCCGGCCTGCGGATAGGGTACCCACCTTCCTCCACTGCGTGTCCGCCGTTCCTCCGCCAGTGCTCCGGAGCAACCCCGCCGCATTGTGTTCTATGCTTGACATGGTACACAATTAACGTTCTAACAGTCTATCAATATAGCGTCGTTCTTGATATTATGCTTCTTGCATGCTTCGGGAGACACTTCTCTCCGCGTGTCCGTGTAACAGAATCACAATACTGCCGAGGGAGGGAATTATCGTCACGCGCGCTTACTCCAGTCCCGATGCTTTCGGACTTCGGATTGTATCTTAAACTTTCAAACTCAAGGCACTTAACCTACTACTTAATCGCATCAAATATAAATGAAGGTTGACGGATCTCAAGTTCATCACTGGACTTCCAACGCATTATCAACCTATCAGCCTCAAGCCGGCCATCTACTGCGACTACTCAAAACTCTTGAAAACTGAGCCTCCCCTCAACTAGCATTCCCAAGCTCTTTCATCTGAAATGGCCAACGAGTTGAAGGCCCTCAGCGGTGTACCTAATCTAAAAGGAAAGATTGCCGTTGTGACGGGCGGCAAGTAAGCAACTATCTCCAGACTACCTGAGTGTTATGAATGTCTCGCCCCTCAGGCGGGTATCTGACAGGCCACGGTCAACAGCAGCGATATTGGTCGCGAAATAGCAAGGCTTCTCGCCCAGAAGAGCGCAAAAGTCTACATCACCACACGCTCTGAAACAACAGCCATCAAGTCACGCAATCAAATCTTGGACGCCCATCCCGAAATCGACCCCGAGAATCTGCAGTGGATGACAATGGATGTCACCGACATGCGTAGTGTAACTTCGACAGCGGAAATGCTCAAGGAGAAGGAGCGCAAAGTCGACATACTGAGTATGTCTCATCACTGAAATTTCTGCTTCCTCTTGCTTCCTTCTCACATTCAAATCGTTCAGTTCACACCGCTGCCGCAGGAACAACTTCCACGGAACTGGTTGGCCCGGGATGGGAGGTCCATATGGCTACCAAGTAAGTCGATCAGCCACGATTGGTTGAAAGAAGTTATCACAAGGTACTGACAGTTGCAGTTTCATCGGCCCCTTCCTCTTCACAAATCGCATGCTCCCGCTACTCAAGAACGCCCTCCAGGATGAAGGCGCCGACGTCCGAGTGATCACAGTGAGCTCAAGTGCCCAAACCGCATTGGTCCCTGGAAAGTTCCCGTTCAACTTTAATTCTCCCGATTGCTTCCATAATCCAGTTCCCTCGCCGCCATGGCAATGGCGCTATTTCGGCCGCTTCATATTCGGCTTTGACACGATCCGCTACGGCGTATCCAAAGCTGCCAATGTCATCTTTGCCCAGGAGCTGCAAAGAAGAATGGATGAACAGAAGCTGCCGATTCTATCCATGGCAGTACATCCCGGCGAAGTTGCCACTGAGGGCGTGTTCTCAATCAATCCTAGCCTAATCAAGACGATTGCGCGTTGGACATTCATCTCCCCAGAGCAGGGCGCTGCGACGCCCGTCTTTGCAGCAGTCTCGAAGGAGATTCGCCAGGATGCCTCCAAATACAAGGGCAAGTTTGTGTTCCCTGGTGGGAAGATCGGAGACCCGAACCCAGTCGCTTCGGATAAGGAGCAAACTACTGGATTATGGCGCAACGCCAATGAGGAAGTGAATTCGCAGCTTCGCGCTCAAGGACTCCCTGGTCTTCAACCATGGTAATCAGGTGCAGAAGTCTCTCGAATCACTTTTGGTAGCTCGCTTGTTGCTGTGCTTCCATGTAGAGTACATGTGTATGTATATGTATGCAGTCAACAACTTAGAAACAAATTGCTATTTCGGATCCTCAAGAGAAGCCACATGCACGTCTCACGGTAACTAGATGAGCACTGCACCACTTCACTGATTTCGTTGCAATGATGAGCAATAGGCTAGTTAACCCATAACGCCAAACTTGGTAGAGCTCAAACACAAGTCCCATAGTTTACAGAAACACAATCTCCGGTACTCACAACCCACTGATCCACCTTTTCCAATCCCCATAGAAGAGTGAACATCAGCCGCGCAAATTCATCAACCTCAGCAGCCCGAATTCCTCGGGCCACCAGAGACTGTCCCTTTAGGCTATGAAGAAATAAAGGGTCCTCTTTCCGCGCGGCGGCTTCCCAGCGGGCAGGGGAGGAAGCTTCCCAGAGTTCGCCGCGGAGCGTGATACAGACGTCACCGGCACAGTCATGAGTCCAAGTCTCTTTCAGGCTGGTGTATACCCCCGTAGCCATACTCGTAAGAAGGAACGTGCGACGGATGGACTCGGAGAGGATGAAGGCTTGATACAAGCTGGTGACTACGTCCGTCTCAATGGTTTGAGTACATGACATCCTCGATAGAAAGTTGGGAAAAACTGGAGACGTCGTTGCATCTAGCGCTGCCGACTCCCACAGCTGGCGGGCCCAGAGACGCAGGGTGTCTATCAAGTTCTCCGCTTTGCTTCTCCGAGGTATTGACGGGGAGAAGAGGCACAAGAGCAGGTGGATCAAAAGAGCCTGAGTGCGCGCCAGGTGTTGCCTTGTCGAGAGAATCGGGAGAAACGGAGCCTCGTCTGCGGAGTTGGCGGCTAAGAGGGTCATGATGTAATTCGACGACACCGCGTCTACCACGTGCTCGTTATCCGGGGTGATGGTTTGTGCTATAGCAATAGCTGCGTATGCATCCTGGATACACTGGGGCATGGTCGTCTCGGAGTAGAGGTGCTGGTGGATGAAGGGATTGTACCCCTTGTGGAGGAAGCGGACGAGCCAAGATTGTAGTCCGCGGATGAAGTTGGTAAAGACTGCGGCTGGCGGAATTGACACCGGCGCTTCGCGTTGGTAGTCGATGGTCCAGGAGGTGGATTGGAGAAACCAGTTCAAGCCTTCCGCGTTGGGGACATCAGGCCTCGAAGCGCTATCGGAGGTGACCTGGCTTATGGAGGCGGAGGAGGTGGAGGAAGCCGACGTGGCTGTCATTGTCGTTGCGGCGATATTTGCTGCCAGCCCGGGTGCGGATACCGGAGCAAAAAGGGCCTCATCCAGCACGACCCCGATATTGTCGATGTCGCTTCCTGGCCACGAGGCCTCGATATCCCATCCGGATCCCAGTCGCGAGCTTACATGGCTCGATATAGGCGCTTGTCTACTTCGCCGGACAGTGGGATACGTGCAAACGACTTCCTTGTCCAGACACCGTGAGCAGGCCGGGAGACTTTGGTCGCAACGCCTCTTTGCCTCCACACAAGCAAAGCAGGACTTTTGTTTCGATCTGCGGGCCATGGTGAGCTGATGGATTGTTGAAGTCAAACAGGTCACTAGTCCTCTGTTGGTCGAGAAGGCTGAGATGTTGGAGGTCTCGAGAGAGGTTGTGTTGTCCGAAACAAGGTTTGGCTACGGGGGCTAAGTCAGACGCGGAGATCTGGCGGAGTTGCCTGCGGAGATGCAACTCCTATTTTCAATCAATCGCGTGCCCACGGGCCAACGAGGCGCGGCCTGACGATTTTGCATGGAACATCGTCCTTGGAAGCCTGACACTTACACTCGACGAACATTTACCTCGATATCCTGCTCTTAACTTGGCAGTCAGTCCATGTTGTCACTGATGGTCTTTACCTCATAACCCTCAAGAAGAACATATTGAAGCTTTCCAATGCAACAAGTAGCAAAAGAAATGCAAATTGAAAACTCGGAAGTATCCCATTTGGCAAAACCTTTCTAGTCCGTAATCCAGGCTTATAGTGCCTTGACAACCACGCCATCGACTCCGGGCTGAGCTCAGACTTCAAATACAAGCCTCTCTTCACCCCGCTTGACCCTCCAGCAGTTTGTAGCCTCTAACAGCTCCGGGCACCCCTTAACCAAGAATCCCCACTTCGTAAAGAAGTTCTCGTTCGCCTCCCACGCCTTCCAGTCCCAGGGTTCGCCCCATACGATTAGCGAAGGCTTGTCGCTGAGGTCCTCGTCCTTGACCTCCAAGATATCAGCGCATAGTTCGTCGTCGTCCAGATCGCCTTTGGCGAGCCCGACGAGAACGTTGTCCCGCAGTCGGGGGAAAGGAAAAAGATCGATCCAGGGATGGTGAAGGACCGTTCTTTGTAAAGGAGTGGGCTGGAGGGCTGAACTGGCCATGCGTGGTTGAGAGGGCATCAAGGGGCTGTAGGAATTATACGGTGAGATGTAGTCTGCTCGGCACAAGCCTTCTGGAGGAAACCCCATGCAGGAGGCATTGTGAGCGAGGGCGGCTAGAACTCGAAGCCGCACGAGTATATGTAAAGCTTTTGGCCTAGGAGCGTGGAGAGAGTAGTCTTCGTATACTTGCTGTATGCGTGTTCGAGCTAAAGCTTGCCGTCGAGGACACCTGATGAGCTTGCATCCGGCCAATAGCGTAGTCAAAATGCTCTCGTCGTTTCTGTAAGCACCTCTGAAGCTGGTGGCTTCAGCTCCAGCCTCGTGCTGTTTGATGGCCGTGTCTCTGACTATTGTGCAGATCACGCCCATGTCATCTGATTTCCCTGAACTCGATGATGCCTGGTCGCCCTTTTTTCCATGTCTCCTACCTGGCCAGGGTGAGTTTGTTGGGACTTTTCATCCTTCCGGAGCAGTACTAACGATACGCGCGCTGGTTGAGCTTATTTTGCAACTTCTTTCTTCGCGCTTGATCAGATATGCCAGTCCAATTGTCGCTGGGATCCCAAATATCGCAAAGCATCCCGCACGATTACAGGCACGGTTGTTCCTAGATTTTGAGCAATTCGAGTTGTCGCACAAGTCTAAGTGACGATCGGATGGTGGCAATCACTGAGACGGGGTGCGATGATGAAAGGTGGAAAGGAGAAATCGGAAGCCACTGCCGGCGTTTAGAGTTTAGAGTTTCTGGCGTGGGGCCTAAATCCGGCGTCCGATGCCCCGCGATGACTTCATAAGGAAAGGGCATGTTGGTGGAAATAGCTACTAGTCCCATCCATGTTGTCTTTCAACGGTAGGACCTAGCTAAGGTATGGTTGGAATAGCCATGTCGGCAAATTTGGAAGTTGTTGAATCCGTAGCAGGATCGTCAGTCAATTTCGTTGGGAAAAATGAAATATTCCGCCAAAACCCTGCCAGTTCTAGATGTTCAGTTGCTGGTGCACGACGAGATGAGACTGACTCAGAGGGCGGGTGTTCAGCAATACTGCCCTTTCATCCAAAGCCGCTAGCTGTCAGCCCAACTTTCTCGATCAACTACAGGCAGCGGCTTTCATCTCATCTGAAAAGCGACTTGTCTCATGATAAATTCTTCTTGGCTGAGGGATGGATGATGGCTGTCATGTTCCTTTGACGCTTGTCCAACCTTACAGCAGGGCTGAGCAGACGATCCGCCCATCATCCAGGGGCTGAAAGGTCAGCAAATTAGCAGATCGAATCCTCATAAATCCGTCTTGGTAGGTTGCATTGCTTTTCATTGGACCTCAATCGTTACCCCAAGAAATCCTCAGCACTGCCTTGCCTGGTGCGAACACTCCATAGCGCACTCGCACTCGCTTAACGGAATAGAGGGTCCCCCATGAGCGGCCTCCCGAACGGGGGCCGGGGGACATTGCAGATCTGCGCCGAAGGTCCGTCCGGCGAGAGCTTACATGATCGGAGGCATCACGTTCAAACAAAAATGCACCATGAAATCAGATAATTGAAAAAGATTTCTGTTATTGAGCTTAAGTAGCTTTTCCCTTCACGCTGGTTCAGAGAGGCTCTTCTCCCGTTACTCTCGACATCGCCAAACCTACACCCGGCAACATCAGCACTAACACCGCAATGACACGCTCCTTTCGATACCGCGACGGCGTAGCAATCGCCCAAATCATCGTCTTCCTAGTCTACCTCGCCTTCGGCATCCTCTTCCGCATCCAAAAGAAGATGGGCTGGTCCGGCATCTCCTTCATCTCCACCATCCGCATCGTCGGCGCCGGCTGCATGCTGGGAACACTCACAAACTCTTCGCGCGCAGTCTGGGCCGCCATCTTTGTCTGCGAATCCCTCGGTCTCGTGCTCTTGACCTTTGTACTACTTGATCTGCTTAAGAGGGCGTAAGTCCCCGTCTCTATCCAGTGTCCACTGCTTTACAAAAGAGAACACCGACGCTGACACACCACCCACGAAACAGAAACTCCTTCGTCCTGGTCCTAACACAATGGCACTTCCGCATCCCCGAACTAATCTGCTGGGCCGGCCTCGGTATCTCCATCGCAGACTACATCGTCGCAGCCAAAAAGACATCCGACGCCACGGCGCCCGGCACGCTTACGAGGGCGGGCGTAGGCCTCTTTGCCGCGCTCTACTTCTGGGGCGTCCTCCTCTTCGTGCTTCTAGCGAAGGAGTGGAGGCGGATTCCGCAGGCAGAGAGGCAGGCCATGGTCGGGTTCGCGGGGTGTTTCCCCTTCATGGTTGTGCGGATCTCGTATACGATTGCCTATGTTAGTACCGGGGAGAGGAGGTTTAGTGCGGTGAGTGGGGATACGACAACGTATCTGTTCATGACGGTCTTGATGGAGTTTGCAGTGCTGGGGTGTGTTGTGTGGACTATTTGGGGGCTGGATAGAGTGTATGAGCAGGTGGAGGCAGTGCGTGGGAAAGATACTGGTGAAATGGATGATCTCGTCGAGTCTGGAGGGCAGAGATCTAGACACTTGGAAAATTGATAGACAGTAGCTTCCTGCA